TAAAATTAACTGGAGAAGGTGAATGAAAGAGGGAAGAAGCCACTTCTCCAATCCAAAAGATGCATACATCATTTCCGCTCACACTGCAATGATCAAGACTAGTGGCATGGTCACATCTCAAGGCCAGGGAATTCAGGAAATACAGCACCTAATCTGGAAGTTGACTCCCAACAGGTACTCCATGCCATGGAAGAAGGAACATCAATTTTTCATGAACAATTCATCATCTCTGCCCAATTTTTTTAGTTTGCTTGTGTTGTGGTTCATTCATTAATTGATGTGTGTTTAAGTGGATAAGAAGAAAGCGGGGCACTCCTAGAGCAGAGTTTATGTAAATTGAAGACAGTTTCCATCTGGAACTAATTAGTATTATGGAGGGAGACACCATTCAAATTCATTGTCAGAGCAAAACAATAGCTTGGTGTCATTAGGCAAAGATTGGATTAAAACTGAAAGGAGACTGCAATGAAATGAAATACGATAGGATGAATGTAAAGCTGATGTTCTCCCATGTAAACTATCACTCAATTCACAATTTAAAAAAAAACTGGAAGGAGTTACTGCATCAAATTCTGGACTCCTGATGTGGCGCTATAGGATGGGCACTGGACTGCAAAGAACCACAAGGTCGGCAGTTTAAACCCACCAGCTGCTGCTCAGAAACTCTATATAGGTCACGATTAGTCAGAAATTACTAGACAGCACTTAACATTACATATTTGGAAGGAGCCCTGGTAGTATAGAGGGTTATGAGTTGGGCTGTTAACTGCAAGGTTAAAAGTTCGAATCTACCAGCTGCTCAGGAGGAGAAAGATGAGGCTTTCTGCTCCCATACAGATTTACAGTCTCAGAAACCCTATACAGGATCACTACGAGTTGGAACTGACTTGACGGCATATTACCACCACAGGTTGTATGTTTGGAGAGTACAAAGGATTACGTATCAGAATCACCTGAGAAAAGATTTTATCAACTCACCCAGGACTCAATCTCCCCAGCCCCCACTTTCATTGATATTGTAACATGCCTGCCAAATCAGAATTCCTGGAGAAAAGAGAGAGGCTATAGTTTGGAAAAGCTTCCTAGGTGATTTAGATCGGGCTGCTAACCTCAGGGTCAGCAGTTCAAAACTACCAGCTGTTCTGTGGGAGAAAGATGAGGCTTTCTGCTCCCGTAAAGATTTATAACCCCGGAAACCCTGTGCAGGGTCGCTATGAGTCGGGACCGAGTCCACAGCACATAACAACTACCACTCCACCCCTCCCACCCTAAATTGGAATCATTGGACTACATTAGATATTAATATTTCAATTCCTTTTTAGTTTAGAAGTTTCAGAAGGAATACTGTGTATTATAAAAATTATTTGGAAAATCATGACATTGTATACCAAACCAAAACCAAATGCATTACCGCTGAGTCAATTTTGACGGATGGCAGCCGTAAAGGACAGAGTAGAGCTGCCCTATGAGGTTTCCAAAGCTGTAATCCGTCCCACACTGAAGCAGATTACCACTTCTTTCTCCCCCAAAGACGCTGCTGTTTTCAAATACCCCACCTTTCATTTAGCTTAGCCAATATACCATCAGGACTCCTTATGAGATTATATAAATATTAAAAAAAAAAAAAAAACCTATAAATCCATAAAAAAAGAAACAATCCAAACAAAGTGGGTAAAACATATGGTCCAAAAAAAATCAATGGCCAACAAATGTATAAAAAGATGATCAACCTCACATGTATACAGATATGCAAATTAGCACAATAATGAGATTCAATTATTTCTCCAGCACATCACAATTCAGAAGTTTGATAATAAATAACAGCAAGGATGTGGGAAGCAGTGTAACAATAGCTATAAAAATATTAAGTGTGTGTAGCCAATGACTCAGCAATTTCCACTTGTTAGTACACAGTAGAAACACAGGAGTTAAAGGACACCCACCCCTCTAGATCTGCATTGTAGCTTTATTTTAGTAAAAGTTTAGAAACAACCTGCATGTTCATCATAATATCGCTGAATCTCTAAAGTATACTGTTAAGCTGAAAGAAAAAACAAAAACTAGTTAAACACTATGATACCTATAAAGTAAATATTTTTGAAACACACAAAACAATCATTTATTCTTCCAACAATTTTTATAGATGCATATAAATGCATCCATAAAGCCTAGACTTCTAGAGAAGGAAAAAGAGGGAACAAGGATGGGAAGTAATTCAAAAGAACTTTACCCTTTCCTGCAGAGCTTTACTTTTTTAAAAAAAAAAAAAGAAGCTGCATTTATGCTATGTATTGATAATAGTTAATATAATTTTTTTAAGAAATATGTTTTAAAAATTATTTGGAGGATCCTACCTGTCATACCCAACCATCTCAGGGAATATGTTTTACCTACAATTCCTGCTGAAAAATATCATGTTATCATTCAATCAGCGGTTCGAAACTACCAGCTGCTCCGCGGGAGAAAGATGAGGCTTTCTACTCCCGTAAAGATTTACACCCTCAGAAACCCTGTACAGGGTCGCTATGGGTCGGACCCGACTCGATGGCACTTAACAACAACAACAACAACATTCAATACATATTTAGTGAGCACCTACTATGTTCCTGGGAGGAGTAATTAAGCACTTTACTTAAGTAAAGTGCTTAATTACTACCCCAAATTTGGTTCTTTGAAGACACCCCAAAATAAAGGCCTAGCCATCTACTTTCAAAAGGTCACAACCTTGAAAAACCGTATGGTCACAGTTCTATTCTGCAATACATAGGGTCACCATGTATTGGAAGTGGCTCAGTGGCAATTGGTTTTATTTGATTTTGCCATATATTAGCCCTTGGTCAATCTAGGCACTGAGGATACTACTATGAACAATTGCTCCATGCTCTTTGAAAAGTTGCTTTTCTTTTCACTCATTAGTTCTGCCCTCCCTATAGCTTTGACTTACCAAGGTACCAACTCCAATGCTAACTTTATAGGCAATAGTATGCAGTGGTATGAGCGTAGGCTGTGGAGGCAGACAACCTGGGTTCAAATATCAGTCCTACTACAGCCTTTGCACTAGTTATTTTACTTTTCAAAATGGTAGTCAGATGCAAAACCCAAGCACCTGTCTGTGAAAATCTTTTACTACCTTTCTAAATTCTATACTCTAGTCATTAAATTGAGCCCTAAAGGGACTTTGGTTTTGCAATTTTTTGTTAGTTACAATGTTAACCTGAAAGTCAAAACTATATTTTGTTTTTAAGTATTCTATAATTCTAATTTCTCAGGAATTTAAGCTGGGCTTCTTTGCAGTCTGATGAAGTAAAATTGTTGTCTGTTTCCTGTGACGATGGTTTGAGCATCCCCTATGTGTTCAAACATTCACACAACTTGTTCCATGGCAATTTCGCCCATCCTAAAGAAATAAAAAGACTTCTCCCCCAGATTCTGAAATCGACAGCTTCTCTCTGCCTCAAGGACATTGTCTATGTCTTTTTTAACTCAATCAACTCAGCATGACACCAGTGCCCTGCATAGCAGATGCGACATAAATGCTTTTGGATCGACTGAGATAGCCAGAAAGTGCAATGTGTTCTCTCCCTACTTCACCTGCTGCCTAAAGCAAGTTAGGAATCAGTAGGGGGAAAAAAGAATCAGTCAGAACATGTTGGAAGAAGAAATGATTAAGGTAGAACTTAGATGCTGAGCCTGGCATTTAAAATAGTAATGAAATTTTCTAAGAAGATTCTTACTAAAATCCACACATATTCGGATAATCCCACTAGGAAAGATTACAGGTGATAATATTAAGCACAATTGCATTTCCCTCAGGTTCCTAGGATCATGTCTGAGTGTGGTAGCCAGTAATCAAAGAGGGTGGAGTATTAATAACTGTATATTTCAAAGGATTTAATGAAACATTTATAGACTATTTCAGACTTGTAATAAAAGTTATAACCCTTTGGTTGGTTAAGTGTGACCTCCAGGGGACAATAACACTCTGTTACATCCCAAAATTCTATAAAGTTATTAGTTATTTCCTATGGGAAACCATCTTCTATTGACAAGAGATAGGATGGATAGTCTAATAGCTGAAATGTTTCTATAAATAACTTTAAACTTGAAAGCTTTGTTGGAGTCAGTTACCTAAACCAGGATTTAAAATTTTGTTCTTACGGGATTTTCAACACCATAGCTAAGTACTACTGAATTCCAAGGGAACATCAAAACTAACTTCCTTCTATCCTGAAGGACAATCGATTATTAATTATAGCCATTTAGGAGGAAATGAGTGAAAATGAAATGTAGGGTACTTCTTGCCTCAACTAATGCTTGCTGCTTATATTATTGTCTTAGAAATTCCTGTAAAGCTAATAAAACTCAAAAGTTTTAAAGGCTTAGTACTGTGGGCTAATGCGTCAGACTGCAAAGTCGTTTGAACTGCAGGATTGGTGGTTCAAGCTCACCAGCTGCTCCTTGGAAACCCAACAACAACAACAACAAACGAATGTTGCTTTTCTAAAATGAAATTAATAATGTTTAATATGATGTTTCCAAATACATGAAAGGTTTTGAAAAATAGAAGGAGTATACCATATAAAAGTTATAGAGCGAGAGAGCCCTAGTGGCACAGTAGTTAAGCGCTCGGCTTGTTGTTGTTGTTATGTGCCATCGAGTCGGTTCCGACCCATAACGACCCTGTATAAGGTTTCCGAGGGTGTAAATCTTTACGGGAGTAGAAAGCCTCATCTTTCTCCCAAGCGCTCGGCTACTAACTTAAAATGTCGGTGATTGGAACCCACCAGCCGTTCTGAGGGAGGAAGATTTGGCAGTCCGCTTCATAAAGAATCACCGCCTTGGAAACCGTATGGCACCGTTCTTATCTGTCTCAGAATCACTATGAGTCAGCATCAATTCGATGGCAACGGGTTATAGACACACAGACACACACACACACACACACACAGGCGTGCGCACGCACACACAGAAAGAAGTCTTTTAAGACTTTTTAATGCGAAATGGAGAGAGTCGATCTAAATAAAGTAAATTGCTCCATCTGCTGGCTGTATTTGGAAGTTCTAATTCAAAGCTCCAAGGAAAGTAGGTAAGAATTGAGGACCCACCTCCAACCATCAGGGAAATTTAAAAAGGAAAAGAAAAGAGCTACATCCCATGAACACTGTACACACATCCCTACTCAAAACCTTGAGAGTCCACTGGAAAGCCCTTGTTGTTATGTGCTTTCAAGTCGGTTCCAATTCATAGCTACCCTGTGTATGGTTTCCAAGGATTGGCTGTTAAATTTGAACTGCCGACCTTGCAGTCCAGTGCTTTTTTCCACTGTGCCACAGCCTTGGAGGTATAAAACTAAGAGTTCAATTAACATCTCATTCAAGTGCTTTCTGCTCTGTTACAGAGATGTTGTTAACTGCCATCGAGTCAGTGCAGCACATAGCAAGCTTGTATAGGGTTTCCAAGGAGAGGCTGGTGAGATTGAACCACCGACCTTGCAGTTCAAACCGACTTTGCAGTCCAGTGCATTAACCCACAGCGCCACAACAGAACTACTGAGATTAAAAGCATTTAACAACAACTCGGGCTTTCCAGTGGACCCTCAAAGCTTTGAGCGGAGATGTGCTTACAGTGTTCGTGGCATTCATGGGATACAGCTCTTTTTCTTTTTCTTTTTTAATTTCTCTTTGTCTATTCACAACAAATAATGAACTTTGACATTGGAAATTAAACAGAGTCACTGAACTCACAGCATTCTGGGCTCATGCTTTGATAAAAGTTGTTCACAAGTTGGCAAATGTCTAAATCCATTAGCAAGCTTAATGCTAAAACAAAATAAACCCGTCACCGTCTGGTCACTTCCAATTCCTAGTGACCCTACAGAACACAGCAGAACTGCTCCATAGGTTTTCCAAACTGCAATCTTTACAGACGCCAACTGACTAATTTTTCTCCTATGAAGCAGCCTTCCTTTCTGGTAACAGCTAAGCACTTAAAACTTTGCAACACCAGGGCTCCTTGCCTAATGCTAAATAACATGTAATAAATTTGAATAGTTTAATAAAAATAAAAGTATCTACAGATTTGTGAGTGTGGGCTGTTTAATTCTTAAACAATGAACCAAGCTTCATAATTACCTTTTCCCAAAGCTTTATCCTAGCTCTTTTTAAAGAAATAGTCCCATATTCAACAGCTGTCAGAAACAGCACTTATCATTTAAAATATCAAAAAAAAAAGTTACCCTGTATCCTCCTTGTTGTCTGGTCTTCCTGAAGATTCAAATATTATATTATGCCTTTCTCCCTGAATGTGCATTCCAGTGAGTAGAGGAGGGGAGGGGCCTTCTGTTTTAATACTCTTGAAAATTACTCAATATTAATATTCACAGTCTTTACTAATTTTTCTAACTTAGTTAATAGCTGTTATATTTGAAACATCTTATCTTTGTTCCATTTACTGCATTAAATTATTTTCAAATAATTGAAAAAAATTCAATTATAAGTTCATGCGAAAGATTTGAACTTGGTTTTGTTGTTTAGGGTGCCACTAGAACCCATCAGCTGCAGCATTCAATACAAGGAACACATTACTCTTTACACAGTAATAGCTTCTTGTAAGGCTGTGGCTTACTGTAGGATTGTGGTTTATCTGTAAAATCTTTTTCTTTCCTAGCATATTTTTCATGTCATGAACCTGAATCATTTTTCTATTCTATTATGAAGTACTAAAGTAACTTGTATCTTGTTGCAAAGAAGAAAATCAACTTATCTTTGAAGGAGTCCAAGTTTTATATTGAATGTAAACTATTATACTCCATTTTCCAACTGGATGTGACCATGATTGTAGGAAAAATGTTCTTGTCAATGATTATTTTCAAGGTGATTTAATCTTTCCCAAAAGGCAAGTTATATTTAGAGATTACTTTAAGGGAAGTGGTAATTTTTTTCATTTAACATTTCCCATAATCTTGATTTTTTTAAATTTTTTGTGTGAGTTTATTATAGAAAATCTCCCCAATCTTCAGCATTTCTTGTAACACATAATTGAATCCAGAAATTTAATAAATAAATATATCAGCCTGTAAGAAGTTTATAGTCTAACAAGACAGACAAATGAAAAAAATAGTTATCACAACACAATAATGTAAAACAAATACTAGAGACATATATATACTGAGTGCAAAGGCCATTGTTGGCCTCCAGAATAGACACAAGAAGTCATCAAGGAGGAGGTAACTTGGTATCAGCTGACCTCTGAAGGCTGGACAGATATTCACCATTTGATGAAGGAGAGATGGGAAGGAATTTCAGACAAAGAAAAGACATGTAAAACAAAAAAATTCAAAACATGAAAAAAAACATGGCAATTTCCTTAGTTCCTGTGACATTTTGGATAAAAGCGATACATGAAAAACTGATTTCCTAATAATGTTGAACAGAAAACTCCATATAAACTGAGCTTTAATTATGGCATTACAGGACAAACACTGGGCTACTAACTGCAATGTCAATTGTTCAAACCCACCAGCCACTCCTCCAAAACTCTACACAGGGTTGCTATGTGTTGGAACTGACTCTACGACACTTAACAACAAAATAAGTTTAAAGCTTTATAAATGACCTCCCATAAAGGTTTACAGCCCCAGAAACCCTGCGCAGGGTCACTAAGAGTCGGAACCAACTCCACGGTACTTAACACCATCAACAGTAAAACACACTGCCTTGAGTTGATTCCAATTCATAGAGAACCTATATAAGAGAGTAGGATTGCCCTATAGGGTTTCTATGGTTGGAACTCTACAGAAACAGACCGCCACATCTTTCTCCTATAGAATGACTGATGGTTTCAAACACTGACCTTTTGGTTAGCAGTTGAGTGCTTTAATTACTCTACCACTGAAGCTTCTTTACTTTACAATAAATATATTTTCAAATACAAACTATTTGTTGTTGTTAAGTGCCATCGAGTCGGTTCTGGCTCATAGCAACTCTATATAGGATTTCCAAGGATCAACTAATGGGTTTGAACAGCCAACCTTGTAATTAGCAGTCTAGTGCTCATCCTACAGCACCACACAAAGACCCCACAAACTACTTATGGCCATTTTTTTCCAACTACATGTTTTAAATGTTTCCAGCTTTCTATATAAAATCAGTTTTCTTGTTGTTGTTAAGTGCCATCAAGTTGGTTCCAACTCATAGCAATCCTATATAGGGTTTCCGAGTGACTGGTGAATTTGAACCACTGACCTTGCAGTTCAAACCAACCTTGACTTATCCTACAGCACTACACCAGGACTCCCTAGTACATCACACCAGGTCAGTCTAGGGGTCCCTAAAAGAATGATGAGGTATTTGTCTTTTAATATAATTAAGTTTAAAAGTTTAAATTAGTTTATAAAAAGTTGGTATTCACTATTAGAATATATTTTTGTAATATTTTATGATTATAAAATTATATGTGGTTATGGGGTCCTGGTTTGGGATTGTAAAATAAGCACTGCACTCCTAACCACAAAGGTGGTGGTTCACACCCACAAACCTGTCCTTGGAAACCCTACACAGGGTCCCTATGAATTGGAAACCACTCCAGGGCACTTAACAACAACAACATTCTTTTAGTGTAATAAATACCATTAAAAAGAACAGTATATAGGCAAATTCTGTATAGGATTTATCAGGCTATCTTTGCTTTGTACTTGAACTAATCAGTAGTCCAGTTGACAAGCAGGGCTGTAACCCTGTCAATGACTTTATTTCCTAAAAGAAAAGAAGTAATTAGGTGTTCCTTTTACTTTTATTAGGATAGACACGATTGGGAATTTCTAAATTTATTTTTATAGGAAGTTCCACCTGATTCTCAGCTTGTGGCAACCTGTACGATTGCAATTGAGATTTAATGATGAGGAAATGAATAGAAGCAAGGGCTAAACACTCCTGGAAATAAATGCATACACTTTAGAGCCACTGAGTGATAGGAAGATATGACAACTTAGGGCATGGGGGCCTCACATTTGCGCTGCATGAGATCTCTTGGCAGCATTCCAGGAGTGGAGCATCTGCATCTCATTTCCCCCAGCTTCCCATGTGAGTGTACAGGAAATTGAAGTGGGGGGTATGTACGAAAGTACATGTATTTCAAACAAACATGCATTTTACTTTTATTATGAACATTACAAGCATAAAGTAGAATAGAAACCATTATCAACATAGCCAGGTTAGTTTAATCTATAACCCCATTTATTCCTCTCCTACTCTGGATCATTTAAGAGGCAAAGTCCAGATATCAGATTATTTATCTATATATAATTTAGTATGTATTTCTTTAAAATCAATTTTTTTAAATCACACTTATTATCAAAGATATTTTAACAGTATTAGAGATTGACTTTTACTTGTCTTTTATATCTAATATGTGTTGTTGTTATTGTTGCTATGTGTCATTGAGCTGGTTCTGACCCAGAGCATTTCTGAGTATGGGGTCTCTGAGGCTATTCATCTTTACAGGAGCAGAAAGCCTCATCTTTCTCCATTCGAACAACTGGTGGGCTTGTATCACCGACCTTGTAGTTAGCAGTCCAGTGCCTGTCGTATAGAGCCACCACAATCCTTATGTGTTATATAATCATGAAATAATTTCCAGAATCATATTACCTTTTTCCTTTTTTCATGAAAGAAAAGAAATTTTTGCTAGCTAAACAGACTTTCGATGATCAAGAACTTTTTGAATAAGAAAGGAAAAAAAAAAAAAAAACCCAACTAATAGTTCTTAAAATATATCCTGAATAACGAATGGTAATGTGTGTTTTTTGATTCTTCTGATGAACCTTAGGATAGAGATTTACAGAGCTTTGAGGATACTCATAGAACAGTCCAGAGCACCACTCCTACACAAATGCCAGAGAAGTTGGCAGAATCTCAGATGAAAGGCTCTGAGAAGAAGATACTAGCAGTTGAGAGTCCCAGACTCAGCATAAATCTCCACTTAAGTTTGGCACAGAACTGCTGGACTCACTCACTCTTTTTAAGAAGCCAAACAGGGTTGAACTGAAGATGATTATTCCCCAAAAACTGTGAACTGCATTCATTCAAG